TATCTTCATTTTACCCTTTCACCTATTCTTGGCTTTGAAATACTGAACTCTAATAGAAAAATATTTCAAAATTTTTACTTCTGTTGATCCAGGAATTAGGAATGTTTCTTTCTCAATGCCTAGCCAGTGTTTAGTATAACATGTATTTATTAATTCACAATATTCTCATTGGTTTTGTATTAGTTTATAGCTTAAATTAGGTGGAGCTTTAGGATTCTTAACTCAGAGTGGATGAGTTTGGGTGATAGAAATGCTTATTTAAAGTTTAATACTTTGTTACAGAGAAGAAGAAGTTGGATGGGATACAGAGATTAAGGATGATGTGATTGAAGAATGTAATAAACACGGAGGAGTTATTCATATTTATGTTGACAAAAATTCAGCTCAGGTATTGTGGGGTTTCATTTAAAATGAACATACATAGGATGATATTCCACTGTTTTGTCTTGATTGGTAATCATGTATACTTGGAGCATTTTATGACCCCTCTCTTTGCCTTGATCATTTTTTTTCTTAAGTTTTAACATATTTGTTAAATAGATCTCCCAGGAAAATAGACATTTTCAAAATTACTTAAGTTTTTACCAGGTTGTATTGTTAGCAGTTGCTGGTGATATTTACATTTTGATATGAAATCTTGGTGTCTTAATTCATTGTTTGAATGCTTCCAAATCAAAAAGAATAAATATTGTGTGCAAGACTTTGGGAATATAAATCTTTTCAATAATATGCTAGATGTATTTATGAGCCAGTAAAACAAATATGTGGGTTATAAAACACTTTTTCTAGATGGTGTCTCGAATATACTTAAGTACTAAACCATATTGAAGCTACATAGCAACATGCTTAAACTTCTTGTTTTTCTTCTAGGGCAATGTGTATGTGAAGTGCCCATCAATTGCTGCAGCTATTGCTGCTGTCAATGCATTGCATGGCAGGTGGTTTGCTGGTGAGTGGTCTTTTTATCTGATTGGTTGGTTAATACTAAGAATCTAAAACTAAATGAAGACACTAAACCACCGTTGTGTGTTTCTTTCAACAGGTAAAATGATAACAGCAGCATATGTACCTCTTCCAACTTATCACAACCTCTTTCCTGATTCTATGACAGCAACACAACTACTGGTTCCAAGCAGACGATGAAGGAAAATATAGTCCCTTATGTACATAGCTTTTTTTCTTTCTTGAGAATTCATCTTGAGTTATCTTTTATTTAGATAAAAATAAAGAGGCAAGGGTCTACTGTCATTTGTATACAATTCCTGTTACCTTGAGAAAATAAAAATGTTAACAGGAATGCAGTGTGCTCATTCTCCCTAACTAGTAAATCCCACTGTATACAAAGCTGTTTCCTTGTTCTGCCTTTTAAATGTACATTTGCAAAAATCACATTAAGTATCTATAGGAATAGTTGTAGGGGAACAAATGTGCTTTCTATAAAAAGGCAGACAGGAATATAATGATGTTTTTAATGTTTCAGAAGCCTAACTTTTTACACAGCAGTTACATTTCACTAATGTTGATATTGGCTAATGGTTTAGCAGATAAGGTTTCTGGAATATGTAGTGTATGAAAATGGAAGGCAGCTAAAGGGCTGTTTAACATCTCATCTTGCAATCTGATCAATTGGCAAGAACGGGAGATTTCAAAATCATATTTCTTGATGGTAACTTTTTGATTAATGTATCTGTAAAAGTTTTTTTTTTTTTTTTTTTTTGTAAATATACTATGTTCTGGTGTGTCTAAGAATCCAAACAAAATGATCCCTGCATTTCCTTAAATGTTCAGTGACAGTCTGGTAAGCAAAGCAGTCCGAACAGGAAATAGGAAATGCAGAAATAGGTTTTGTCTGGTTGCATATAATCTTTGCTCTTTTTAAGCTCTGTGAGCTCTGAAATATATTTTTGGGTTACTTCAGTGTGTTTGACAAGACAGCTTGATATTTCTATCAGAACAATGACTTTCATATTGCAACAATCTTTGTAAGAACCACTCAAATAAAATTCTCTTAAAAAGGCCATAAGAAATCCTCATTTTTCAAATGTTTTAAAGTCATAGAAACTTGAGAATAGAGAATATTAGTTTCTCTGACTTTCAGCAATCATTCAGTACTTGCCTCTTTGGGAAAATAATTATTAGTGTGCAGAGAGTCTCATCTGGAAGATTCTTGCCCTCAAGCTGTCCCTGTACACTCCACTTTGTAATAAGTTAGATTCCTATATAATTCAATGAGTTTTAGGGTACTGTCTTTCAACATTCCTTTTAGAATTGGTATTTAAATTACACTGTAGCCTAGCACATTACTTGCTTAGGGTAATATAATATAGGAAAACAGTGGCTATAGCCATGGGCTAAGGTACAGCAAGAGTTGGGAGGATGGTGCATGACTG